TCACACACACACACACACACACACACACACACACACACAAATCTCCAAATCTGAGGTTACAATCGTCTTCACATTTCTCCTCAGGCTGCACTGTGACTGTCGTAACTGAAGGACACTGAGTATGAAAACACACACTGACATACTGCAAGATACAATTGTCTCATATTTCCTTCCAGGGATTTTGTCTGCCCATTAATGCTGTAACAGAAAAGCAGGAATGTGACACATTGTGTCAATAGCTGTTTCCTGAACCAACAAGGATTAAGCTACATCAAAAAAGCTGATTTGTATATGATATTGCTATATATATTATATATAAATTATATATGCATTATATTATATTATTGTCACGTTTATGGTCGGTTTTGTTTTCCCTGTGTTTCCATGCCCTTATTTGGTCCTTCCCGGTCCTGTCCTAATTGTTTCCAATTTGTTCCAGGTGTTCCTTGTCATTTAGTTATCCTCATCAGCTGTCTTCCCCTCGTTATCTGCCCTATTTGAGTTCTAGCCCGTTCTGTTCTCCCTTGTCTGGAATTGTTCATGTCAACCTTGCTACGTGTGTTTGTCTGTTTCATTTTTATTATTAAAATTAGTAAAATTCTCCTACGTCTCCTCGCTCCTTTGCTCCGCGCTCCTACACAGCAGCAGTCGCGTGACAATCATTCAAAAGTTTGGGGTCAGTAAGATATTTTTATGTTTTTACCATAAAAAAACATATGCTCACCAAAGCATTTCAAATCAAAATATATTAAAAACAGTAATATTGTGAAATAGTATTTTGATGTAAAAGAACAGTTTTCTATTTGAATATGTTGTAATATTTAATTATTCCTGTAATGGGAAAGCTGAATTTTTAGCAGTCGTCTTCAGTGTCACATGATCCTTCAGAAATCGTTCTAATATGCTGATTAAATATATCTAATATGTCTATTATGTGTGTTGAAAACAGTTTTGCTGCTTAAAATGTTTATGGAAAGCATGATAAATTTTTTAAAGATTCGTTGATGAAAAGAAAGCTTAAAACAACAGCTGTTTGTAACAATTTTTGTAACAATATAGATGTCTTGAATGTTACATTTGATCAATTTAATGCAGCCTTGCTGAAGTATTCGTTTCTTCTTCAAAAACAAAAAACTTTTGACCCCAAATGCATTATAAATATGACTGGATATTAGTTTTTTTCTTTGTTTGTTTGTTTTTGTTTTTTGCAGTTACATTTTTACTTTATTTTATTTGGGTAGTTTTTGGAATTAGTTTTTTTGATTTAGAATTAAGCTTTGTGACATCTTAACCTGCACAAAAAGCACATTTACAGGGTTTTTAGTTAGTTAGTTAATTTTCCTTTATGGAAGGTCTTTAGCCCTAATCATGAATTTCTGATTTTTTTTTCTAAAGAAGCAGGTGAATGCATTTTCTTATGCAAAATCCAGCAAAAGCCAACATCCAAAACAGCATACATGTCAACAAGAATTATATGCCAGTATGCGGTGTAGCAAATGTTAGTTTTTAATTGTACAAGGAGATATTTCACCAGAATGATGAACGGGAGCTGGCATGTTATCACCCACACATGCACCCACACGTTAAAACCAGCCACAGATTGTCTAATAACTGTCCACTGCAAAGCTCTGGAGATATTCGAGCTAAACATAAGCTTGCCTCAAACTTGGGTTTGATTTTGATTGATCTCTCACTTTATCCCTCAGCTCAGCTATCCCCCAAAATATCCCCCTTTACCTGAAAAACGCACTACTCATCATCTTAGAGAGAAATGACACTTTATTTTTGTCTCTTCCACTCAGATAAGTGGCTGTATTACATGATGGGTGGGGGTCAAACCACAAGAGCATCGGAAAGGGAAGATGTTGGCAAGCTGGCTTTGAAATAACTCTTAGGCACCACACACTCTCCATTCCCCTACAGACGGTGCACTTCCACTCAGATTTGTGACAAGAGTTGACTTGTATGATTGAATTGTTGTTTTCCTCATGTTTGGTGGTTTCCTCCTAAGTGTTTTTTGATGATACAGGTCACTTCTCAAATGTTTTTTTGAGTACATGAGACCTCTGAAGACTGGACACAGTGCAGAATACAGAATCAGGCAATGCAATAAGTCATTTTGTGTCAGTGAAAGCTTTGCTTTTGTGAATTTCATGGTGGTTTAATGCGGTTTAGGTTCAGATATTGGATAAAAAGGACCTTGACTGCAGACTTCAGAAGCAGAACTGTTGAAACTTACTTGGCCTGTTCTCTGGTCTGTTTTACAGGAAGCTACTGGAACGCAGCGTCATTCAACACGCCATCCTCGTACCTGCACTTCTCCACTTTCCAAGGAGAAACGAGTGCTGATATCTCATTTTACTTCAAGACCTCTGCTCCCTATGGCGTGTTCCTGGAAAACCTTGGAAACACGGATTTCATCCGTCTGGAGTTGAAATGTAAGAGCCTGGCTCATGTTATCTTTGTTTCTTCCTGTTTTTTTTTTTTTATCCCTTTCTCTAGACTCTGTCTGTCTGTCTTGCTGCTCGCTGAATCCCTTGGTTGTGCGCTTACTGCTGTGAAGTGTGATATTTGAAATGAGAAAGTGCTGAGCAGGCACTTTAGAAATTTTGCCTTGAATCATTTGCTCACCAGTGGATCCCCTGCAGTGAATGGGTGCCGTCAGATTGAGAGTCCAAACAGCTGATAAAAACGTCACAATAATCCACAAGTAATCCACACAACTCCTGTCCATCAGTGAATGTCTTGGGAAGTGAAAAGCTGTGCGTTTGGAAGAAACAAATCATTTTAAAAAATCATTAAAGAGTTTTAACTTTAAACTGCCACTTGTCCAGAATACAAGAAATGATGAAATGACAAAGAAAAGTCTATTTGCAGCACTGATTACAATACATTCGCCGCACATGTTCAGCTGATTGTTCTCTATTGAATACAAATGGAAGCTTAAGAAAAAGAAAACACTGCCGAATTAAAATACTTTGCTTAATTGCTCATAAATGTCTATTTACTGACAATTTACAGCCTTTTTCTGCAAAAAATGCTTAGATTATACATGAAGCAGCATAACTGAGGATTTGAATTGTTCGTTGTGTAAAAAAAGCAAAAGAGGCGAATCTCTTTCTTGCAGATCGAGTTTTCACCCCATAAGCCGAGCTGGCTGCTCCTTCACACTGTTTACTGCACAATAGGCAATACAGAGCGCAAAAATACACCATTGCGGATTAATCTTGTGTTGCATGCAGTGTTTCATGTTTCCTGAAGTGGCTCATTGTTGCAGAACGATTTTTCGCTCTGTAATGTATTACTCAAATGTCTGTGTAAATCTTTAAATGCTGTTGTTACGTGCTCTGTCTCCCATTTCTGCACCAGTCGATTGTTCCAGTCTTACCTAGACTGAAGACCAGAGGACAAAAGAACAGATTCAGCTTTTACATAGTCAATAGCAAATGGTTTTTATGCAAACACAAACATACAGTAAATGTTTTTATTTATTTTTTGACCTAAATGAAAAAGTCTAATCATTTATTTTACACCTTAATGTGTTTGTTCATATATCCTCTCAGAGGTGTTCATCAGATAAAAAATAATCACAGCAATAATGTCTTTGTGTCGCTCTGATTGGCTGATTGCTCTGTCAGTGTCATAACCCACATTTATTGTGTTCAGAGCCAGTCTGCAAACAGGCCTGAATGACTCAACCTGGTGAAAATGGATGGACTGATTACAAAATAAATAAGTCGCCACTTTTGCTCTCATGCAAATCAAATTAAATTATTTGAAAATACATTCTGTGGGCACAAATTTAGTAACTGTTAAAGATATAGCCAAAGCAACATTTACTGACAAATAAAACCTTTCAAATGTAGATTATTTAAACTATGAAATAATCTGGTATTTACTTATTTGTTTGTTTCTGTTTTGTCTTGTGTTCAGATTTATTTTTTTAATATATTTTATTAGATTATATAAGATTATTTAAACTATTATTATATACATAACTGGGTACTTTATGTTAATTTAATACTTAATTTATATTTATTATATTATATTATATTATATTATCATTTTATTTTATAAACTTCACAAAGACTTTGAAATATCCTAGTATTTAGTTAGTTAGTTTCTGTTTTGTGTTCACCTTTATTTTTTACTATTTTTTATTAGATTATTTAAACTATTATTATATACTTGATGAGAGATTTTGAAATATCCTAGTGTTAATCTATTATATTATATTATATTATATTATATTATATTATATTATTTAAACTTGAGATTTTGAAATACTGTGGTATTCACGAATAGAAAATAAATATAAACATAAATATTATTATTGGTTATTGGTTGCCTGGTGATAGTGTAGTGCCTCGTAGCTGTGTTCTATGTGTGTCACTGATTAAAAGTTATATTAAAAATGTCTTTATGTTGATGAGTGTTTATGAATACTGTGCTCTGGTAGCAGGAAATCATTCCTTCATTTTTTACACCCTCACACACACACACACACACACAATCCTGAGCCAGGAGTGTGTTCTCCAGCCGTCTCCCCAGGCACTGGTGTATCTCTCAAGGGCTCTGAAGACGCACACGGAGGGAAGGAAAGCTGCTTAGTGGCTCCATTTGTCAAATTCACATGTCCTGCAGTCTCCCTGTCCTCATCTCAGGGGCACAAGGGAACGCGAGGGTTACAGTGAGGCAGAGGATGTCACATTCCCTGCTCTCTCATTTACACACATTCCTGAATCCATACATAACCCATTATTTTTACACCCTGCTGCTTTACCCTTCCTTTGGACTGGGAGAAGCAAATCTTGTTCTGTTCCCTCCATTCTTAAATAAAAACTGAAAAAAAAAGCTTCAGGTGAGACCGAGCAGAGAGAACAGCGACTCGCTTAGTGCTTTCTCAGAGGCTGGTGATAGCAAAACATCAATCACTTGATGAAGGAGTGAAGGGAGAGAGACGGCCAGCCGGGCATTATGCATACAGCACATGTAAAAGTCTGCAGGCCTGTCCGTGGAGAAGACGGCACTTAGTGTTTGTGCTGCTAGCAGGGCACAGATGCATACAAAGTGGCCCTGAATGAGCCTGGCATGATCGGAATATGGAGGAAACAGGAAGGCATTAGAGCTTATTGCTGCTCGTTTTGCCCCAGCAGTGCCACGGCCCTCCAGAGAGCAGAAGGTTATTGGCATCAGAGATCACTGAGGGTCTCCACATGACAGATGTGCTGCCTTTCCATATTCAGCTCTCAATCAGGGGCTTTACTCAGCTAGAGACTCTGCGTATTAGTGAAGGCTGGTGTGTAGGAAAGAAAAATTACAAAATAAGATCACATAAATATTTAATTATGTTTCCTAGAAAGCAGTGAGATTCAATGGAGACTTTTGCTCCTGCTTCTCAGATGGACAACCTGGGCAGTCTGCTATCAAAAGCCAGAATATTACTTATTAAATATGATGTCGTGTGATTTAAATATATGAACTCAAACATTTATTTTCACATTTCTGAGACCAAATTATGTGACTTAGGCTACCTATTAGTTTTATAGCTTAATACATGTTAAAATTTTTCTTAATTGCATGTATAGTTTTATTTCTTTAAAGTATATTATATTATATTATATTATATTATATTATATTATATTTTTTAAAAACAGTTACACTGTGAAATATTATTGCAATTTAAAATGTTAATGTTTTCTATTTTAATATATTTTAAATATGTAAATTAAATGTCGTTTTTCCTGTGATGACAGCTGAATTTTTAGCAGCAATTACTCCAGTCTTCAGTGTCACATGATCCTTCAGAAATCATTCTAATATGCTATTTGATGCTCAAGAACAATTTTATTAATATGAATGATGAAAATAGTTGTGCTGCTTAATATTTTTATGCTGTAATAGTTTTTTCAGTATTACAGATTCTTTGATGAATAGAAGAACATTTATTTGAAATAGAAATCTTTTTTGCAGCATTATAAATGTCGTTACTGTCACATTTTGTGAACAAAAGTATTAATCTCTTTTAAAAAATAGATCTTGCTAACTAAAGAAGTTTTCCGGCCCGAAGTCAATATTGGTATCCCAAAATTAAAAAAAATTAAAAAATGCAATACTCTTTGGTCCCAGTAGTGGCATAGAAATTACACACTTTACCATTTTTCTGATGTTTTATAGAGAATAGAGAGAGCAGAACTGATCTAAAAAGTTGGGAAAGACACATTAAAAACCTCATCAGCCTGTCTCATGAATATTAATTAGGTGTAACATTCACCCAGTAGTTCGAAATAATTGAAGCCAAGTGGGTTCTAGCTGTATTATTAAAGAACAACTATGCTAAGCACAATGATCAAAGACGTCAATCTAGCATGTTTACTTTGCAAAACAATTAAAAAGAGGAGTGAAGGGAGAGAGACGGCCAGCCGGGCATTATGCATACAGCACATGTAAAAGTCTGCAGGCCTGTCCGTGGAGAAGACGGCACTTAGTGTTTGTGCTGCTAGCAGGGCACAGATGCATACAAAGTGGCCCTGAATGAGCCTGGCATGATCGGAATATGGAGGAAACAGGAAGGCATTAGAGCTTATTGCTGCTCGTTTTGCCCCAGCAGTGCCACGGCCCTCCAGAGAGCAGAAGGTTATTGGCATCAGAGATCACTGAGGGTCTCCACATGACAGATGTGCTGCCTTTCCATATTCAGCTCTCAATCAGGGGCTTTACTCAGCTAGAGACTCTGCGTATTAGTGAAGGCTGGTGTGTAGGAAAGAAAAATTACAAAATAAGATCACATAAATATTTAATTATGTTTCCTAGAAAGCAGTGAGATTCAATGGAGACTTTTGCTCCTGCTTCTCAGATGGACAACCTGGGCAGTCTGCTATCAAAAGCCAGAATATTACTTATTAAATATGATGTCGTGTGATTTAAATATATGAACTCAAACATTTATTTTCACATTTCTGAGACCAAATTATGTGACTTAGGCTACCTATTAGTTTTATAGCTTAATACATGTTAAAATTTTTCTTAATTGCATGTATAGTTTTATTTCTTTAAAGTATATTATATTATATTATATTATATTATATTATATTATATTATATTATATTATATTATATTATATTATATTATATTATATTATATTATATTATATTATATTATATTATATTATATTATATTATATTATATTATATTATATTATATTATATTATATTATATTATATTTTTTAAAAACAGTTACACTGTGAAATATTATTGCAATTTAAAATGTTAATGTTTTCTATTTTAATATATTTTAAATATGTAAATTAAATGTCGTTTTTCCTGTGATGACAGCTGAATTTTTAGCAGCAATTACTCCAGTCTTCAGTGTCACATGATCCTTCAGAAATCATTCTAATATGCTATTTGATGCTCAAGAACAATTTTATTAATATGA